CAAGTTGCCCAGGCGGGTCTCAAACCCGCGGGCTCAGGCAATCCACTCACCTCAGCCTCCCAACTGTGCGGGATTACAGGCTGAGCCACTGAGCCCGACTAGAGAGGAATGCTTTCAAGTTTTCCCCTATACAGAATGATGCTGCCTGTAGATTTGTTGTATAGGGCTTTTATTATTTTGAGAATTGTTCCTTCTATGCCTATTTTGCTGAGGGTTTTTTTTTTTTTTTATCATGAAGGGGTACTGGATTTTATCAAATGCTTTTTCTGCATCTACTGAAATGATTACATGATTTTTGTTTTTAATTTTGTTTATGTGGTGGATCATGTTGACTTATGCATGTTGAACCATCCTTACATCCCTGGGATAAAACTCACTTTATCATGGTGTATTATTTTTTTGATGTGTTGTTGTTTTGATTTGCTAGTATTTTAGTAGAATTTTTTTTTTTTTTTTTGAGTCAGAGAATCACTCTCTTGCCCAGGCTGGAGTACAGTGGCATGCTCATGGCCAACCCAGCGTCAACTCGCTGGGCTCAGGCAATCCTTCCACCTCAGCGATCCAAGTAGCTGGAACTACAGGCGTGCACTACTACGCCCAGCTAATTTTTTGATATATTGTAGAGATGAGGTCTCACCAAGTTGTCCAGGTTGGTCTCAAACCCATGGCCTCAGGCAGTCCTCTTGCCTCAGCCTCCCAAAGTGCTGGGATTATAGGCTTGAGCCATTGCGCCTGACCAGTTTGCTAGTATTTTGTGGAGGATTTTTATTTCTATGCTCATCAGGTGCTCTGGTCTATAGTTTTCTTCTTTTGTTGTGTCTTTTCATGGCTTTGGTATTAAGGTGATACCAGCTTTGTAGAATGATTTAGGGATAATTCTCTCCTTTCCAATCTTGTGGAATAGTTTTAGCAGGATATTTACTAGTTCTTCTTTAAAAGTCTGGTCGAATTTGCCTGTATATGTGTCACGTCCTGGACTTTTTTTTGTTGGGAGACTCTTAATTATTAATTCAATCTTGCTATGTGTCATGGTCTGTTTGAGGTTTCTATTTCTTCCTGATTCACAGTTGGGGGTTGTATGTTTCCAATAATTTATCCATTTCCTCTAGATTGCCCAGTTTACACAGAAGTATTCATAATAATCTCAGACGGTCTTTTGTATTTCTGTCATATTAGTTGTAATGTCTTCATTTTCATTTCTGACTGAGCTAATTTGACTTTTTTCTCTTCTTAATATAGGTAGTGGTCTATCAAGCTTGTTTTTTTTTTCAAAGAACAAACTTTTGATTCATTAATATTTTGTATTTTCGTGTTTAGTTCATCTCTGACCTTTGTTGTTTCTTTTCCTCTGCTAGTTTTGGATTTGGTTTGTTCTTGTTTCTCAAATTCCTGGACGTGTGACATTAGGTTGTCATTATGTTATGTCTTCTTATTGTATCGATCCCTTTATCACTATATAATAAGCTTTTTTGTCTTTTTTTTTACTGTTGTTAACTTAAAGTCTGTTTTATCTAATATGAGAATGTCTACTCCTGCTTGTTTCTGGTTTATAGCTGCATGGAATTTTCCCACCCCTTTACCTCGAGTCTGTGGGATTCTTTGTGGATCTCTTGAAGCCAGCAGAAATTTGGACTGTGTTGTGTTTTGTTTTGTTTTGTTTTGAGTTGGAGTCTCACTCGGTCGCCCATACTGGAGTGCAGTGGCCACTCCCGGCCACCGCAGCCTTGACCTGCTGGGTTCTGGCGATCCTTCCGCCTCAGCCTTCCGAGTAGCCGGAATTACAGGCACGCGCTACTACGCCCAGCTGATTTTTTGATTTATTGTAGAGATGATGTCTCGCTGCCCAGGCGGGTCTCGAACCCGCTGGCTCAGGCAATCCACTCACCTCAGCCTCCCAAAGGCGGGGGATTACAGGCTGAGCCACCAAGCCCAGCTTGGACTGTGTTTTTTTAATCCATGCCACCAATCTATATTTTTTATGTAGTGCATTGAAAGTGATTACATTGAGGGTTAGTAATGATATGTAAGGTGCTGTTATGTTCATCATGTTGTTATCTGGTTGCCTTTCCCCCCCTCTATTGTGTTAATGTTCCTTAAGTCCTGTGAGCTTTATAATTTCTGGTGCTTTTCTACTCATGTGAAGAACCTTCTGGAGAAGCTCTCTGATGTTTCAGACTATGAAGTAATCTGCAAAATGTGCAATGACATGAGGTTTGCTCTCATCTCCTGAGAGGGAGTGATGTTAGGTAAAGCTGAACTGGGCTGACCCAGCCTCTAATTTCACAGTGGTAGGTGCAAGTACCAGCTCCAATCGGCAGGGGATGGCATAGACTCTGTAGGCTTTCCTTGAACATATATCGCTTTGGTGTGCAGTAGATTTCTTAACTGCCAGCTGTGGTGGTGCTATGCACAGGCACAAGGTGTCCTGAGTGACTAGTGTGACTTGGAAAGTGATGTTAGCTGATGCCTGATGCAGACCTTCCTGAGAGCTGTGGTATTTTATCAGATGTAATGGGTTGTGCCAGTTGATTGCTCACCAGGAGATGGTGCTTACGGTAGAGAGTCAAGTGACTGTGGGCTTTCTGCTTGTCCTATGTTGTCCCAAGGAAATACAAGGATGACTCAAATGATGGGCGGGGCTGTGGGGACTACCCAAGTTCCTTGTTTGTACTGAACTTTTGAGCGGGGTGCACTCCTCACCTGGGTGCACATGGCTTGGCTCCTGTGTGCACAAATGGATATCTCATGGAAATTGGGAAGGACTTCCCTGGCTGCTGGGGTAATGCTGCCACATAGTGCAGAGGCTGCACAAAAGAATTCACATGGGGTGTGAACTGTTGCTGGGGTAGTGAGTGGCACCCAGCTCTCCTGCCTTTGCCTCAGTCAGTCTGTGTTCAGAATGCAGAAGTGCAGCGGGTCTCAGGTATTCCCACCCAGACAGAAACTGCCTGCTGTGGTAGAGTTTGCCCTTGGGACAAATGAAAGGTTTTTCCTCTCAGGACAGCTAGAATGCAGCTACCAGCAAGGATTAAGTTCTTGCGAAATGGTGGCTGGAGCCACTCAGGGCTCTTGTGCCATGCACAGCTCCATGTGGGTTTCAACAGAGCACAGCTGTGGATAAGGAAGTTTCCTGTGAGGGACTGGAATCCTGTGAGGCTCAGGGGAATCTTCTAAGTCCATGGCAGGAGCACAGAACTCCTGAATTTCCCTCACTCACCTCCCCTCCTGTGTCCAGAGGCTGCTTCTGGTTTGTGGTGGTTATCCAAGCGAGTTTCTGCCTAGTTCTAACCCAGTCTTATCGATTTTTCTTTTCTTTGCACACTCTGTTCTGATTTCAACTTATTGGGTCATGTCATTTCTCTGGTGAGCCATGGGGTGTGCTGCTGGTCTTGTTCCTCTTTCAATACTGAGGAACTCTGTCTGCTTTGGTTCACTCCATGCGAGAGATATGATCATACTAGCTGCTTCTCACTGGTCATCTTTTTCCCTTCCCCAGTCATAAATGATTATATATCAAGTAAATATATTATTTGAGAGTATTTTAACATACCTTATTAATTTTAGCACCTTCAGTTTTATGAATAATTCCTTTTGACTCAAAAACCTTAACAATTTCCTTAGCCATATTGAGCATGACATCAATCTCCTGCTTTGTTTTCACAGTGATAGCAATTTCTGGGTGATCACACTCAAAGTAGCCTGAAATATAACAAAATATTTTTAGATAAAATAAGAACATTATTTTAAATGCTTTAAGATAGACAGTATGCTAATATTTCTGCTTTAAACTCAGGGAAATGTTCCAGAAGGGCCTCGTGATCAATTATTATTCACTAGTAGTGCCAGAGTTCTGCCTGCCATTTTTTTTTTTGTGCCTAAGCCCATGAAAAGGATAGTTGGCCCTAGTCCTAGGGTTAAGAATTATGCAGATCCGCCTGACTGGACATGGGATGCTGCTCAGGACTCTAAGTCTGGAGATCATGACCCACTTTCCTATTCTGTTTAAATCAGAATTTTTAACCATAGAATGTGTGATCAGATATGTCTTCTGATTAAGTCCTCTCACTCATCCTGGGCCATTGTCCAATCACCCTTCCGGTGCACCTGGATGACTTACACATCTCTTCTCTTCTGCTTGTCTCCCTGGATGCCTGATGCCAATTAAAACTTGATCCACTTAGGTGTTACATTTGGACTTTTCCTTGGTCATGACTTTTTTTCCTGGCTTGGTAATGATCTATCACAGAAGATCTGTGGCCTTACTTCCAGGCTTGCTGTGTCCTTTTGCAGCCTGCCATCTAGTATAAAACTCCTTTATCCTCCTCACACATGAACCTTATACTGTGGGGATGTGTCTTTTCCACTCCCAGGACTTGTTCTGTATCAGGAGCATGGCCTGGCATGATTCAGAACATAGGCTGCTGTGGTACTTGAGCACTGGGCCTCCCAGCAGACATAACAGAGATCTGCAAGATTCTATTTTGATTTCAACTCATTGTAAGACCTAAGTCCTTAAGTGGCAGCTTTGTGGCAAGTAGAGGGAAAAGGTAGTTTATTTTCTTGTGTTACTCAGGAAGGTTTATGTACTCCTGGTTTGAAAGAAAATATGATTTATGGGGTTATGACATGCATAATCGTGGCATGCTAATTTGTCTAAACATAAATCAAAAGACCTTCACTTTTGTATAAGACAGAGAGAACAAAAGTAGAGAGGTAATAATACACTATTCCTATCTAAACTAGAAAATAAGATTACCTTGGTTGTTGAAGTTATCCACTTTCTTATTATTAGTGAATAGTTTTCCTCAAAGATTAGCTCTAGTTATAAAAACTATTGCCTTTTTGAAGTAGTGGTGATAAAAGGTAGTCATGCTGAATATTCAGAATAAGAGTTGCTTACCTAACTCTTTTAAAGCATCTTCCATATTCTTTGTTATCCGCTTTAGTAATATCTATGGAAAAAAAGAAATTTATCCCCATTGAAAAAAAGAACTGTTATGAGCATGGACACAAAGATGGGAACAACAGACACTGGGGTACTCCCAAAGGGGGGTGGGGGGAATAGGGTAAGAGTTAAAAACTACCCACTGAGTGCCATGTCCACCACTTGGGTGATTGGCTCAATTAGAAGCCCATGCCTCATCATCCTGCAAAATAGGTATTCTTGCATGACAAACCTGCACATGAACTTTTTGAATAACACTGGAAAAAAAAAAAAACAGTTTCTAAGCTCAAAAAATTCTTTACGTTTACAAATGACAGATTTTTAGCCTAAATTAATAACCATAAAGGAAAGTATGATGGTGAACTTTTCAGACATTAGAATTGAATTTCGTGCTGCAGCATTCTTTGCTTCAGCAAAAAGGATGGAGAAAATAAGTAGCATCAACTGAGCTAATTTTGAGAAAACTGAAGGCAGGTCATATATTTTTCTTTTTAGGATCTATTAGTTCTGCAAAATGCAGGCATGGTAGAAAAGCCTCCAAATATGGAACACAAGGATGGCTTTCAATCAAAAGGATGTAAGAGATTTGGCCAAGGTTTGTGAGAGCAGAAATAAGGACAATAATTTCTAGATTCAAGTTCTTTTGTATTTTCTCCTGTATATCTTCAAATTCCAGGGCTAACTATTAATAATTAGAAAAGGTAATAAAACATGGGAAAATAGTTTTAAGTTGCAGGTGGTGAAAAGAAGATACTACTTTTTGTGTTTTACCATATATTGAATTTTTTTTCTCAACTACAAAGTTTTGGGCACATAAAATATAGCATGCAAATATTTACATTGCCTTGAAAAGTAAGTATTGAATTACACATTTATTGTGGGCACATTTTGGTGTTACTCTGTCTCAATCTAGAAAATAAAACATAAAATCTAAAATATAGGTCCTAGAACTTTGCTTGCTACTTATTCACTATGTGACTTTGGACACAATCATTTAACTTCTCATGGTCTCATTTTACTCATCTGCATGCATAATGAGGGAATCAGAATAGGATTCCTTCTCATGAATTATTGTTTACTTTCTATTTGCTAGATCACTCACTTTTTTTTTCTTTACTGTTTACTGCAGGGAAAACAAGTATTTAAGTTTAGTATTCAAGGTCTTCCTCACCTGTTTAATCTGTTCAGAACTTGTAATCTGATCGATTACAGTCATCACGTCTGCTTCACCTTGGACATATCCTTTTAGTATTGCATACGTAAACGAACGTTGGTGACTCAAACTTTTATCTATTATTTCCAGCAACTTTGGTGTTATAAGCTGAAAACAAGAGTATATTTAATATAAATGTACACAATTTTTATACTTTGATTAACTTAAGCAAAATGGATACTAATAAGAAATTAGGTGCCCTCAAAGGTAACTACAGTAACCTGTCAAGGTTCTTATTTTATTCATAATAACTTCATAATAACAGCTACTAATGTTGGGTATCTGTGTGAAGTTTATGACTTTATTCTTTACTTATTTTCCTCATAGAGAATTGAATGCTATTTTCAACCAGTTTAAACTCTTGAAAAACAATATGATTAATTTTCTGTTCTTAGGTTATAAAATTACTGTCTATAAAGTGCTGCCATTTTTGCATACTAAATCTTCTATTAAATTTCCTTCCTGATGGTTCAGTCAGGTGAGAAGCCACTACAACCATGCTGCCTGTTAGACTTCAAGATTAACTTCTCTTCCCCATTTCTTTGCTGAGGAGTGCAGTTTCCCAGTCATTTGTTACCATCGTGCAGTCCCCTGACTTCAGCAGAGTTCATTGATCCCTTTCTTTTCCTATCTATGCTCTACAACCTCCATATTCTACCCTACAACCACTTGCCCCAAAGTGCTTATACTCATCTTTCAAAATTCAGCTCAAGTATCACTTAACAAAGGAAGTTTTTTCTCTCCCACTGGTCTTCTGTGCATAATATTGGCTATATAGATTACTTGTCATTTCTTTTCTACAATAAGTTTTCTGGAGGCAGAGACCATATCTAATTTGTCTTCATAGTCCAAGGGTCTACAATTTAACTTAAGATAAGAGTATAAAGTTTCCTGACTATATGAACAAACAGAACTTTCTTCATCTAAACTCTTCTATTGATTCTGTATGTCTTTCTATCAAGAAGTATTAGTTAGTCATTAGAATACATTAGACTAGACTTCCTAAGGTCAATTTGCATTCTAGTATGACTTAGTCTTCCAGAATACAAAAAAGAAAAGACTACCGGTTGCATACTTTTATATTTAGTTGACTTATGCCTTTTAGTAGCAAAAATATTTTTAGCGTATGTAAGAAAGATCTAAAGTAAAAATGTTATTAGCTTTATTTCTAGATGAACTATGTCTTATTTAGCTTTGTATTTTCCATAATGCTTACGTTTGTGTGTGTGTGTGTGTGTGTGTGTGTGTGTGTGTGTGTGTGTGTGTGTTGTTTGTATATGAACACAAAAAGACAGGAGAGACAGAAAGAATATATTTGTATTCATATATTTCCTTATATGCCTTGTGATAAGTAAAGTTTCATATTATTAAAATAATCATACAGAAAATAACTACCCATCATATTTGTTGCAGACACATGTATTAGACAATCATAGGTCATTTTTGATACCATGATTCTATGGGAGGGAAACCTCAAAAAAATCAAAATTATTTTTTAGAGGGCAGGTCCCTTATATTACAGGCTTCCCCTGCTAGATGAATGTTCTAGGAACCCATCAGCATCAGTGTACCAGTTGATGTTGTTGTGAGAGGCTGCATTCAACTTCAGTGATTTTTTTTTCCAATATTCTTTCAATGTATTTGCCCATTTCATGATGGGTGATTTAGGAGCGCACCTGCCCACACCACACCGAGTGTTCAGCAGTTTTTGACTAAAAATGGTATGACCCCCATGCCCTCACTCTCTATTCACCTGATCTCGCCTTGAACAACTTTTATTTTTGTTTTTCCAGATGAAAAAAGTCCTCAAGGGAAACGTTTGGGCGATGTGAAAGAGGTGAAATCAAAACAGCAGAAGCACTAAAAGGCATCAAAATTGATGAGTTCAAAACTGTTTTGAGCAGTGAAAAAAGTGACTTGATAGCTGTATTGCATCAATGGAGAGTACTTTGAAGGTGACTAAAATTTAAACATGTAAGAATAAATACACAATTTTTAATAACTAAATGCTGGGTTTTTGGGGTTCCCCTCAAATAATACTATTAATTTATATAACATGGACTGTGTCTTTTTTTTATTTGTATGAATATATGCTATTTGCTTTGCTCCTATGAGTTGTTTACATGGTTTTTTGTTTTGTTGACTTCCATCTTTTATTCCTTAAGTATCAATAAGAATAAACATTATTTCAGGGTTAACTTGTACTTATATTAATATAGAATTTTTTAACATGCTCTCTATTCAAAGGAAAACTGTGATGAATATTTCTATACTTTCATGTGCCAAACAAATTTTTGATATAATTTGGATAGTTGTAATATAAAATGTCATTAAACTTGACTTGCCAGAGGGAGCTAACATTTAAAAGATAAACATCATCCTAATAAAAAGCTACAGCAATAGGCTAAGTGGAGTGGCTCATGCCTACAATCCCAGCACTGTCGGAGGAGGAGGCAAGACCAGCCTGGGCAGCTTCATCTCTACAAAAAATTTTTAAAAATTAGCTGGGTGTGGTGAAATGTGCCTGTAGTCCCAGCTACTCAGGAGGCTGAGGCAGAAGGACCCAGAAGTTCCAGGTTGAAGTGAGCTGTGATTGTGCTACTGCACTATAGCCTGAGCAACAGAATGAGATCCCGACTCATTAAAAAAAAAAAGAAAAGAAGAAAGAAAGCGAGAGAAAGAGAAAGAAAAAGGAAAGAAGGAAAGTAGGAGGGAAAGAAAGAAAGAAAAAAAAGAAAAGAAGCCATTAAACTAGGAAGGAAGGAAGGAAAG